GAGGACAGAAGAGGCCATCAGATCCCCTGGAACTGGAGTTATGGACAGTTGGTAACTTCCATGTTGGTGGTGGGATTCTAACCTGAGTCTTCTGTAAGAACAGCCAGTATTCTTAACCAGTGAGCCATCTCTCCAGCCCCCAAGTAGCTTTTATCAGATGCACCCCATTTCCTGCCTTCTAAGTTGGGGGCACTTTAATCCTGCAGCAATTTTTGAGTTGGTATGAGGCATAGTCAGCTCCATCCAGGAGTGCTGGGCACTTCCTGTAAGGTTCAGATAGCCCTGCCCCCTCACCAGCAGGGTCTCAGGGACTTCTCATGCTCCTGAGAAAAGGGAATGGAGCTGATAAGCACCCTGGTCTTTGAAGTCAAGAGAAGCAGACTTTCCTCCACTGTTTGGCCAACACAGCAGGCTTCCCCTTTGATCTCTAAAGAGAACACATTTTAACTGTCCTGCTCTCCCATTTCTGCCTCCAACTTTAAAAAAAAAACAAAACATCTTCCCGCCTTCTGCAGGAAGCAGAAGTCTCCCTTTTTAAAAGACAACCCAGGGTAGACATTTTCCCTACCCAGAAGGGAATCTGTCCCATGTGTTCCTTTGCTAATAAACTCTGCTTTCTTCTGATCAACCCTATTCGTCATACAGCTACTTTTTATCTATCACTCCCCCCAGACTCTCATGGCCCCACCTTCCTGCCTACAGGGCTATTTTGAAGGTCCATTTGGCTGCAATGACCAGAGAAGACAACTATAATGTAGACTATGCCAGTACGTTGTCATGTGCTATTTGAGCTCACTGAGAAGCTGGCTCTGGAAGCTGGGTTGGTTTTCTACTTCGACCCAAGCATGTTCATGTCAATGATTCTCGGAGTTCCTTGTCTGAGGACAGGCTGGCCCCTCCCTAACTCTGTGACCCGGAGGGAAGAGAACAGCAAAAAGCCCAAGAGTAAAAAGCATCATGACCTTTAAAACAGCCAGTCAGTAAACCATTTCCAACAGAGGTTACTGTTGTTTATCCCAGGATATAAAAGTGCCTACAGGGCCAGGCATTGGTATCACATACCTTTAATCTCAGCACCCTGGAGGCAGAGGCAAGCACATCTCTGTGAGATCAAGGCCAGCCTGGTCTACATAGAGAGTTCCAGGCCATCTCTGGCTACATAAGTGAGACCCTACCTCAAAAAACCAAAGCCGAAACAAAGTGCGTACAAGTTTGATAGAGAAACGAAGTTCAGCCATGTGGAGCTCAGACTTGGAGAGAGAGCTCAATCAGGACTCCAGCTGACTGCCTCAACTTCCCCAGGGCAGTTTCTGCTAGACGTTGTGAGCCCCTGATTTGATGATCCTATCTCCATCTGTTGCTATTTGTTCTGGAAGCCTCACCTGAGGAAATGCTCTGCCCAGGACACTGCTGGGAACTCCAGCTGGCTGCCGTAATGGGGCTTTCCCAGTTTACTTCTGCTGGGTATTTTGAGTACTTGATTTGATATTTTGCTAGGTAGCTATCCATCCATTCTTTGCTACATATTCTTTTTGGGGAGAGAGGGTGATCTTTTTGAGTCAGGGTCTCCCTGTAGCCCCAGCTGGCCTTGAACTTGTTATGTAGACCAGAGATCCACTTGCATCTGCTTCCCAAGTGCTGGGACTAAAGGTGTGTACCACCACACCTGGCTCGAGCTATGTATTCTTTTACTTTGGCTTGCTATATACTTAATGAACTCATTCAAAACTCCAAGTGTGGCTACCATAGAACCTTCTCCAGGCCTTACAGAACAGCAACATTGGAGTGGAGTTGCTGTGTATAGAAGGTAGGGGAGGGAGAACGCCTCAGGTGGCAGAGTGATGATGCCCAGACAAGTGCAAAAGGACTTGGAGTGACTGACAAGAGCCTGTCCTGCTGAAATTGCTTTCGGGGTCATGATTTCAAACAGGTCAAACTGTATTCACTGAGTCCTGGTCCCTCCCTTCCCTTGACTCTATCTCCCCACTACCTATGCCTATCCCCGAACGTGTCAGACCTTGTCCCCTGCAAGTTAAAATGGGAGACAGAGTGGGTGTGCAGGGGAAGGAGTTAGGAGACCCTGCCTGAGGCTGCAGAGGGTTGACTTTTCTCTGTGTGTATGGTGGCACATAATGTTAATACTTTTTTTGTTTTTTGAGACAGGTTTTCACTATAGTCCAGGCTGACCTGGAACTCCTCTTGCTTCTCCTGCCTCAGCCTCCCTAATGCTGGCATTGCAAGTGTGCCTGGCATGTTACTGCTTCTGATTCGCAGATTCTAAATCTATCTGTAATGAAGGGAATGGTGTGAGATGAGCACTAGAAAGTCAGCCCTGCCTGGGTGTGAGAGGTCCAGACCCAAGGTCCCCACAGATGATGACAGGGCACAGAAAGACTGCAGGGTGGGATGCATAGTGTGTGGGGGACATTGGGATCTGGGGCCTTATTTGGGGGTGCTGAGAAGCATGGGGAGCTTAGGTACAGAGGAGTAACCTGGCTCAGTGAGGTTTAAAAGGCCTCTGGAACTGCTTGGTAGCAATTGGCTCTATGGCTATGGAGAGGAGGGGGCTGGGGGCTGCTGGGGAGGCAGGTGCACTGTAGGCATAGTGAATCCGTATGCTTATGAGAACACATGAAAATGTGGGTTAAATACAAAGTACTCTTGAGAACAGTGGGGGGTCTGGAAAGTGAAAGTTTCTGAACTATTTTAGGGGTCCAAAACTTCTCTGAAACAGTAGCCTCTCTCCAGACAGTAGCCAGAGGCATGTACAGTCTGGGGCGGGGGTAACAAACCCCAGCCTGATGGTGTCACTGAGGTGCATCCAACATTGTCCTTACCACTGGTACACGTTGATCTCATGGTTGTCCACGACCAGCTGTCCATTCTTGTGCTTCACACTCCCCTTGTATCTGCCATGGGTAGAGTCGTACTTGAACATGTACACCTGCAGCAGAGAGTGGGGTCTAGTCTTATGGTGGCACAGCAAACAGCAGAAGACAATTCTACCTTGGCGAAGGTCCAGTGTTGCAGCTGGAAGCCTTCCATGTAGCTGCTGGAACCCTCTTCCCCATTCAGGTCAACCCCTTGCTGGTCCCACTCACCATGTATTCGGGGTCAATGAATGGGTCATTCACTGCCACCACCTTAATGCCCTTCTCCATGCAGACTCGAAGCACCAGGCGACCGATGCGTCCGAATCTGCCCACAAAGGGACATACAGACAAGGGGACAAATGAGAACAGGGTGATAGAGATGCTGTGGTTTCAATGTCCCCACCAAAGCTCATGTCTGTGTCATCACCAATGTGGGTGGTATTAAGAGGGTGGAAACTCAGGGTCAGCTAGATGACTCACTGGGTAAAGGTGCTTGCCATCAAGTCTGACAACTTCAGTTTGATCCCAGGGACCCACATGGTGGAAGGAGAGTGCTAACTCTAGCAGGTTGCCCTTTGACCTACACCTCTTACAGCCTCACACCCACACCCACACTGAAAAAAAATGTAATAAAAATAGGGGGACTGGAGAGATGGCTCAGTGGTTAAGAGCACTTGGTTGCTCTTTCAGAGGACCCAAGTTCAGTTCCTAGACCCACATGGTGGCTCACAACTGTCTGTAACTCCAGTTCCAGGGGATCTGATGCCCTCTTCTGGCCTCTTTGGGCACTGCATGCACACAGTGCACATACATATAGGCAGGCAAACACTCCTACACATAAAACTGAAAGATTTTTTAAAAAGAGAGACTGGGCCTGGTAACACACACACACCTTTAATCCTAGCACTTGGGAGGCAGAGGCAGGCTGATCTCTGTGAGGTCAGGGCCAGCTTGGTCTACCTAGTGAGTTCCAGGACAGCTGGAGCTATAGGAAGACTCTGTCTCAAAAAAGACATAAGTTAATTAGTTAATTAATTAATTAATTAATGGAGAGAAAATCCTCTTGTGGTATTAACAAGTATGACTTAGGGAATTAAAGTTAGTTGAAGTCATGAGGGAGGGGGCCCCATGGTGGCATTAGTGGCTTTATAAGAAGAGAGACCTGAGCTAGGCAGCTACTTCTGTCTCTATATGATGTTATTCGTGCATTGCATTGGGTCTCTGCAGAGTCCCCACAAGCAGGAGGGCCCTCATCAGATGCACCCTGTTGACCTTGAACTTCCCAGCCTGCAGACTGTAAGAAATAAGTTTCTTTTCTTTTAAATGATCCAAGCTTAAGTATTCAGGGATAACCAACAGAGTAGGGCAGGAGATGAGGCTCACTCAAGGGAACTAGGTCCTCAGTCTGGGTAGGAGAACAGCCACTTCTGTGTAGACCACTGTCATCTCTTGCGCATGTAAGCTTGTCACCCTAGTAATCTGCATTTCCATTTCTAAGCCCCATCCATCCTCTGCCTCCTACTCACTCTCACTCGTTTTTTGTTTTTTTTTTTTTTTTTTTTTTTTTTTTTTTGAGACAGGTTCTCCCTGTAGCCACAGCTGGCCTGGATACACTATGTAGACCAGGATGGCCTTGAACTCATAGAGATCCACCTGTCTCTGCCTCCCAAGTGCTGGGATCAAAGGCGTGGGCTACCACGCTCGACCTGCTCGCTCATTTTTATCCTTTCTTTTTCTTCTTCCCTCCCCTATGCTCCTCTCTCTCCTCCCTCTATTTCTCCCTTTTTTGTTATCTACTTTTAACTTTGATTTTTATTTGTATTATTTTTGTGTGTGGTGCTGGAGATCAAACCCAGGGCCTTGTGCATGTTAGGCAAGAACTCTATCCCTGAGTTACACCTCCAGCTCCTTTTTGTTTTGTCCTTTTTTAAAACAATAACAAGAACAAAAACCCAGGATCTCTGGGCATTGCATGACACAGGTGCACTTACATACAATGAAGGCAAAACACTCTACACATTAAAAATAATAAATAAAAGCCGGGTGTGGTGGTGCATGCCTGTAGTCCCAGCACTTGGAAGGCAGAGGCAGGCGGATCTCTGTGAGTTCAAGGCCAGCCTGGTATACAGAGTGAGTTGCAGGCCAGCTGGAGCTACAAAGAGACCCTATTTCAAAAGACAAAACAACAAAAAAATTTTTTTACAACCTATCAGTTAAACATGATCCATACTTTTTTTTTTTTTTTTAAAGACAGGGTTTCCCTGTATTGCCTACATGTAGGTAAGTGCACCCATGTCGTGCAGTGCCCGCAGAGGACAGAAGAGGCTGTTGGATCCCCTGGAACTGGAGTTACAGACAGTTGTTAGCTGCCATATGGGTTCTGGGATTCAAACCCGGGTCTTCGGCAAAAACAGCCAGTGTTCTTAACTGCTGAGCCATCTCTCCAGCCCCCATACTTTTTTAATGGTGTATGAATGTATTGCCTGCATGTATGTAAGTGCACCCATGTCGTCCACTGCCCACAGAGGTCAGAAGAAGGCATCAGATCCCCTGGAACTGGAGTTATGAATGGTTGTCATCTACTTTGTGAGTGCTTGGAACCAAGCCCACGTCCTCTTCAAGAGGAGCCAGTGCTCTTAACAACTGAGAAATCTTTCCAGCCCCCAATGATCCATACTTTAGAAAAATTTACTTTTATATGTATGTGTGTGCCTGAGTGTATGTATATGTACCACATGTGTGCAAGTGTCTGAAGAGGACAGAAGAGGGCATTGGATCCCCTGGGTCTAGAGTTACAGGTGGTTGTGAGCTACCATATGAGTTTTGGGAATTGAATCCTTATCCTTTGCAAGAGCAGTAAGTGCTCTTAACCACTGAGCCATCACTCCAGCTCTGATGATCCATATTCTTTCCCATGATGCTTCAGGTACCCAAGGGAGTCCCTCAGCCCCCCCCCCCAATCCTTTCCCCCCTCACTTGTTTTTACAGCTGTGCAGACTTCTGGGCTGTCTTAATACACTGAGCATGGCCCCTCCATCCCAGAGCCATTGCTTGACCCTCTTGCCTTGAAGACCTTCCCCAGAAAAGAGACAGCTGGCTGCATATTGTCACTCAGCCTCACTCCGACATCCTGTGGCCCAGCCAGAGCTGTCCTTTTGGGCCTTGGTAAGATCTGCACGCCTCACAGCCTTGAACTGCCTTGAACTACCTTGGTTTTGTATTTTTTTTTTTCTCTTTTTGAGGCAGGGTCTCCCTGTAGCCCCAGGTGGCCTGGAACTCTCTATGTAGACGAGACTGGCCTTGAGCCACCTGCCTCTGCCTCCTGAGTGCTGGGATTGAAGGCATGTGCCACCATGCCTGACTTTTATCCCCCAGAGAGGGAGCTCTCTGAGGGCTGGCCTGCCCCTGCCAGCCCAGTGAAAACCAGAGGGATGCCCCCAGCCCCCTATGACCTGAGGAGGCCATGACCTTGGTTTCCTGGCTAGTTCTGGCATCACCTCAGGCCTAAAGCCAACTCACCCATTGATGCCCACTGTCAACTCTCTAGATGGCTTCTTGGGTGGTGGGGGAGGGGAAGGTGGTGGAGGTGGTGGTGGCGCCTCGGGCTCAAGTGGGGGTGGTGGCCTGATCACTGTGGGAAATGAGAGAGTTATGAAGGGAGGTAGTGAGCTGGGTCACTCCGTACAAAGAAGGATGGGGGAAAGGTGAACCAGCTCAGTGGGTAAAGTGCTTGCTGATAAGCCTGCCAACTGTTTGGTTCCTGTAGGACAACAGCTTCCATAAATTGTCCTCTGACTTACACACACACACACACACACACACAATTTTAAAAAAAGAAAGGGAAGGGAATGAGCCATCTGTCGTACACAGAACCTTTGGGCTCCCAGCCCCTAGTAGTCAGCTGTATAGCCCAGTGTTTCTCAAACTCACTGAGACACAGGGCAAGGGTTGGGAGGTTTTAAGATACCAATGTCAGGGGTCCCTCCCCTGAGCCTGTAATTCAGGGTGTGTGTGTGTGTGTGTGTGTGTGTGTGTGTGTATGTGTGTGTTTAGCAGTTGCTTGAGGTCTAGTCTCTGTGTTTAGCCTCTCCTCTGTGAACCATTCCATACTTACTAGTAGTTCCTTCCCTCTTCCTCTCCTTCCTTTTGAGACATAGTCTCGCTGTCACCTAGGGTGGTATGGAACTCTTGGTCCTACTGCCTCAGCCTTCTCAGTGTTGGGTACAGGGTTTTTTTTTGTTTGCTTTCAGTGCTAGGATCAAACCCAGGACCCTCCAAATGTCAATCAATTGCTCTACCACTGAGCTACAACCCCACTCTTACATGCTAATAGTTCAAAAATAATTTAAAAAATTTTTTATTTATTATTTTTATTTTATGTGTATGCGTGTATTGCCTGCACCCGTGTTGTGCGATGCCCATGAAGGTCAGAAGAGGCTGTCGGATCCCCTGGGACTGGAGTTATGGACAGTTGTTAGCTGCCATGTGGGTGCTGGGATTCAAAAGGGTCAGCCAGCCTGGGCTACATGAGAACCTGTCGAAAAGAAGCAAAAACAAAACAAACAACCAAAGGAAAAGAAAGATCTTTCTTCTTCTTTTTTTTTGGCCTTTTTGATTTTTTTGGTCTCTGTAGCCCCAGCTGTCCTGCAACTCACTATGTAGAGCAGGCTGGCCTTGAACTCACAGAGATCCACCTGCCTCTGCCTCCTGAGTGCTGGGATTAAAGGCATGCGCCACCACACCCAGCTCAAAAATAATTTTAAAAAATTATCATTTTTTATTTTAGTGTATGAGTGTATGCCTGCATGTATGTAAGTGCATCTGTGTTGTGCAGTGCCTAAGGAGTTCAGAAGAGGGCATTGGATCCCTTAGAACTGGAGTTATGGATGGTTGTTAACTCCCATATGGGTGCTGAATCTGAACCTGGGTCTTCTTCAAGAGCAGCCACTGTTCTTAACCACCAAGCATCTCCCCAGTCCCTCAAAGATCATTTCTTGAACTTATCTGATAGTGAAGTTCTGTGATCCCCAAATTGTTCTGATAAGACTCACTCAAGGAAGCCTCCTTCTAGAAAACTCTGACTTAGTATCGAGGCCCAGGAATTTCTTTTTTTCTTTTTCTTTCTTTTTTTTTTTGAGACAGTTTCATTATAGCCCAGGATGTCATCATCCTGGAGAAGAGGATGATCCTAAACTTCCAAACTCCTTATCCTAAGTGGTAAGGGATAAAGGTGTGTGTCACCTCACCTGACAGGAATTCAGGAATTCTGTTTTTTTTCTTTTAAAAATGTTTTTATTGAATTTTTGTGTATTTCATACAGAACATCTCATCAGTCTTAATCATCTTTATACCCCCTTCTCCACTGGTGCCCTCCCATAGCCCACCCCCCCATGGAAATTCATACATTCTGTCATTTGTGTTAAGATCTATTGTGTCAAGTTAGTGTCTCTAGATGTTCCTCAGTGCAAGTTAATCTACTGAGTTCTAGTCAGCTTATCTAGAGTTCCTCGATTTAGGAAGATCAGTTCCTCACCCAGCAGTAATCAGTTGCCAATATTTCTCTAGCTAAGATTGGGGTCAGCTGTCCATTTCCCCAGTTCTATGCTGGGTTTTTGTCTGCTTGAGTTTGCGTGGGACTTGTGTATACTGACACCATTGCTGTAGGTTCATATGAGCAGGGTCCCAGGAGCTTGTAGGGCTCTATTTTCATGTGTTCGCACACCTCCTCCCTGGGTCTTACAGTCTTTCTACCTCCTCTTCTGTAATGCTCCCTGAGCCCTGGGTTGGCAAAGTTTAATATAGAGGTCCTGTCCAAAGACCAGCATGCTGTAGACTCAAAGTGTAGATCTCTACACTTGGCCATTTGTGACCTTTTGTATTCCTAGGCCTCTATTACATGAGGGACCTTCATTTATGAGAATTGACTGATTCATTAGTGTCCTCTTTACCCCTGTTCTATGTTCTGTGAGTCTTAGGTGTAGAAGTTGCATTATAGATGTGTTACTTAGGCCTGGGCAATTTGTAAACAACGTGTGTGACCAGTTGTGGTACTTGGTAATAGTCTCTGGTGCAAAAGAAGCTTCTTTGATGAGTGGTGACTGGGATATTTGTCTGTAAATATAAGGATACATATTTTGAACATAATAAGAAATTATATCAGCCTAGGGATGTGACAGTCTTGGGGTTTTCTCTAAGGTCTGTGACCTCTTCAGCCATGTGTACTTGGTTATGTTTACAGTACCACACTTGAGTTTCCTCCCATTGAGTAGACTTTTAGTCCAACTAGGTAGCTGTTGATTGCCCCCAGGATAAAAGTGCCACTATTGCACCAATGTCATATGCTGTGTCAGTAACTGATGTGGTTATTTGGTCTTGAAGCTGATGTGGGCCATTGATTGATGTTTTCCTAAGTGAAATAACACAGACTCAGAAAAACAAATGACATATGTTCTCCCTCATGTGGATCCTAGCACCAAATCCTTATAGTGAATGTGTATCTAGATGTAACTGTAGGAACCAGGATAATGAAAAGGAACCAGGGAGGTAAAGGGATAGAAAGAACCTGAGAGAGAAGAATGGGAGGAGATAAGTGCTACTAAGGGAGAAATGGATAAATGTGGGGATATTTAAATGAGAGGGGGAGGGAGGGTTATACAAGGAATCTTGGGGATAAAGGGTAAGAAGGAGCTCAAGGGAGATGGGACCATAGGAGACTGGTATTATCACGGGAGAAATGGGGAAAATGAGGACACTATAAATGGGGAAGCCATGGTGGAAGGGTTAGGAGCGGGGGGGTGGGAGAGAGAGAGAGAGAGAGAGAGAGAGAGAGAGAGAGAGAGAGAGAAATAATGCCTAGCTAGTTTTAAAAATCCAGAGGCAATCATATTATTCCAACAACCTAATGACAAATTACACGTACACTATATCTACATGAGTTCATGTGTATAGCTAAAGGCTACATAACGACACAGGGCCAGACAGGAGAAACCTTCCTTTGAGTTGTTGGCCAGGGTGGTCCAAGAGATTCCCAAAATTACAAGGCTTTCACCACAGTCCTTGCTGGCCTCCTAGAACTTTAAGGTAAGACCTACTGCTGAAGACAGGACACACTCAGACACAGGATTTGGAGCAATGGAGCTGAAGCTGACCTGGAAACCACCTCCCTGAGGCTAGCTCTCACAGCTTTGGAGAGCAATGTGAAAGTGCCGAAGGAATTGTGCTTCTTAACAGTGCTCAGGTGGCTGTCACCATGAGACACAATGTATGACACTGACCTCGGTGGACACTGCCCCTGGCTCTCCATGCACACCCACTCCTGCACTGAAAACCCTTGTGTCTGGAGGTGTGCTTCTGCCTGGGCTATGGCTGAGGGCCTGAAAGGAGGGAGGGGAGAAGCAGAGCCAGCAGTCAGCACACCTGGGTGGCAGAAGCTCTTAAGCTGGGCAGTCTGGCCTGGATGCCAGCCCTGGCTTAGCCACCTGCCGCTGTGTGGTCTTGGGGAAGTCAACGAACCTCTCTGGCCCATTTTCTGGATGTTGAATCTTACCCTTCATCCAGAAGCTTCAAGGGTTCAGGGAGGCCTGAAGGCCCTCCAGTGGGAGCTGACTGTAATGGAACTGGCCAGGAAGTCTGGTATTCAGAATATTCAGGAGGACTGGAGAGATGGCTCAGTAGTTAAGAGCACTTGCTGTTCTCGAAGAGCACCCCAGTTAGTTTCCTAGCACCCACATCAGGCAGCTCATAACCACCTGTAACTCCAGCTCCAGAGGATCTGACGCCCCTTTCTAGCCTCCATGGGCACTGAACTCGTGCACACACACACAGACATACATAGACAATTAAAAATTTACAAGAATATGCCAGCTCCAGAGGATCTGACGCCCCTTTCTAGCCTCCATGGGCACTGAACTCATGTGCACACACACACAGACATACATAGACAATTAAAAATTTACAAGAATATATAGGAAGAAATGAAGAGGAGGGGGAAGGATGTTAGTGGGAATAGCCTCAGCCCAGGGAATCAAAGGCACCCTGAGGTGGGGAACTAGATGGGGGGCCAGCTGGCCTGTGGCTCCCTGACCTCTCCCTGCTGCCACACTCCTGTGACTTGAGATTGGACTATTGTGTTTCCAGTTGCAATGCATGTCCATCAAGGTGTTAGTCAGTGTTTACTACTGGCAGTGACCTTGACGTCATTGATGACCTTGAGGATACTTGTATTCCTGAAGTTTTTGTTTGATGGCTCAGCCTGTAAAGGTGTTTGCAGCCAAAGCTGATGACTTGGGTTGGATCCCAGGGACCCACATGGTAGAAGGAAAGAATGACTCTCCTACGTGTCCTCTAACATCCACATGCATGCTGTGGCACATACACCCCTCTCCAAATGTTAAAAAAACAGAAAACAGAAAAAGAGTTCAGAGATTTATCCACTAGGGTTGGGAGCTAGAAATCCGAGCTGGGCCTCTCCTCCCCTGAACCAGTCTTACAAACCAGCTAGCTGTACAGAGGGACATGAAGCTGTGTTCACAGGGCAAGCAGATCCCTGGCTCTTTGGCCCATCTACTACTGTGTCTTCTGGAGTTTCTTGGACCCTAAAGTCCTGCCAAAGGGAGGTTCCCAGACCCACCCACCCACTTGTGGGAAGTAACAACTCCAGGGTGAATCAGGCTGGGGGGCTGCACTCCTGGGGGCCCAGGCTTCCTCTGGTTGGAGCATTGGGCACATGTGCACACTCCCTCTGGCTGGGTGGGGCAGGACATGCCCAGTGGCTAGAAGCAAGAGCATGCAGTGTCCTAAGGGCCTGGGGAGAATCCCTACTCCACCAGTCCTGGGTTGGGAGACCAGGAAGGTGCTTGCCCTCTCTTAACCTCTCTTAACAGGGAACACCCAGGCATCACCTGGTGGCTGGAGGCTTCTGTGAACACAAGCCCCACACACCTGTAAAGCTAGCAGCCTGGTCTGGAAGGCTGCAGTTGTCCTTGACTTTTGCAACGCAGGGAGGACAAAGCCCACCAGCAGTTAAAGCAGCCCCTGTGTTGGTCACATCAGTGCCATGTGGGAAACACACCTGCCTAAGACCTCCTGGATGCTCCTGTGAACAGTCCTCTCCCAGCTCCTGCCTTGTCTCGGCCTCTGCTGCTCCCCTTTCAGCTCTTAGGAGCCCAAAGCTCAGCCAGCCCTGGTAGCAGAGTCCCCATCCCACCAGAACCACTGAGGAGAGGGAGTCAGGACTCTGTGAATGGCCTGTGTGTGGCTGCAGGGACTCCCAGACCCCCCTTTTTTCCTCTTCCCAGGGTCTCCCCCAAAGTCTCCCTCACCCGGACATGGCTGTCGCTGTAGCTGGACAACAGTGACGTTGGTGAGGACAATGTCACGTTTCTGCATGGCCTAAGATCTCATGGCCTGGGTGCCTTGGGCCCCTCTGGTGTTTCTGAGCTGTGACTCTCCCAGGGGTTAGTGGTCCCAGAGCTTTTGATGATGTCACATTGCCCGGTGATGTCACAGAGGGGTTGGTGCACAGGCTGGAGGCTCCTGCCTACCTGAGGTCTGTGAGGAGCCCACAGTGGGCCCTTCAAGGCGGCCCTCTGAGTTTGAAGGGGAGTCTACCTGTGTGTCACAGACCCTCACAGCTGCTTTCTTGCTTTTGCTCCTTTGCTACATTTGCTCCATGGTATTCCTGGCTTTCTGGGGAGTTACTCTAGCCCTTTCCTTATGGCTAGAAATGCTTAGAACTCCCCGTCCCCCCCATCTCCACCCCTACCAAATCTTCCTTCGACTACCTAGGATTCCCTCTGATGCTGTCCTTTAAGAGAGACCCTTCTCACCATTGTAGATGAAGGGGAGGAAAGATTGTAAGAGCCAGAAGTCAGGAAGGACAGGAGCAAAACAGTGTCTTCTGGCCATGACAGGACCGCTGTGCTCAGGAACTCACAGCAGCTCTGGTTCCCTGCTCAAGATGAAGGCAGTCAACATTCTATCATGATGGGGGAGGGGCTCAGGATCCCCCACCCCTGCTGAAGAGCTCTTGACAGTTGATAGCTTCTGGAGGAGGCAGACCAGTTTTTTTGAAGGGTGTGGACCAAGCTCTAGTGGATGGCACCAGTCCCATGAGTCTATGGGTAGCACAAATTGGAATCAGTGGGTTTAACAAAAAATGGTGACAGGAAGTTTGGAGGGACTGGGAGTTTGGGGGTGGATCTGGGAGGAGTTAGGAGAAGGAGTCTAGGATGAATATCACCAAAATACATTGCATATATGGAATTCTCAAAAAATGCAATAAAATGTTATATTAAAAAATCCAGATTGGGGCCAGGCGTGGTGGCACACGCCTTTAATCCCAGCACTCGGGAGGCTGAGGCAGGTGGATCTCCGTGAGTTCAAGGCCAGCCTGGTCTACATAGTGAGTTCCAGACCAGCTGGGGCTACAGAGAGACCCTGTCTCAAAAAGATCCCCCCCCCACAAAAAAATCCAGATTGGTGTCTGGCATCTGGCAGCCCAATACTCCTATGGGAGTTGGGAGGTGGAGGCAGGGGAATTGTCTAGAAGTTGTTGACTAGGTAGCCTGGAGTACACAGCACCTAGAAACAGCAAAAGACACCCTGTGTCCACAAACTGAAAGGGGTGGGACCTTGTCTGCCTTTGTCACTTCTATGTCACATTGAGTTGGACACTAGAGAATGTTCACTCGATCAATAATACAGTTTTACTTTACAGAGTTTGAAAGAAAAGACTAATATTTAATGTTTCTTACATTCCACCATGTAGGTTCCAGGGACTGAGTTCAGGTCATCAGGCTTGACAGCCAGCACATTTATTGGCTGAACCGTTTTTCCAGCACTCTCTGGTATTTTCTGATACCCAGTTTTAATTTTTTAAAGATTTATTTATTTTTATGTGTTATGAGTGTTTTCCCTGCATGCATGTTAGTGCACTGTAACCACAGAGACCAGAAGAAGGTATCAGATACCCTGCAACTAGAGTTATGGACCATTGGGCCATTAGGCAGCATGTGGGTGCTGGGAACTGAACCTGGGTCCTCTGCAAGAGCAGCCAGTGCTTGCAGTTGCTGAGCCATCTCTCCAGCCCCTAGTCCCCAGTTCTAAAGTAGTCTCTAAGTCATGTCTTCTCACAGCAGCTGTTCTTTTCTTTTTGGTTTTTCTCTAGTTAGCATCTAGTTACTGGTTTCCTAGTTCTGTGTCTCCCCCACTGGGGTCCAAGTGCCCACTGGCTGTGTATTATGGAGGTTGTGTAGTCACACTTGTGTCTCCAGCCCCTGGAAAGGGTCTGACACAAAACAGGCCTCTTTTTTCCCTTCTCTTCATTCTTCTCCCCTTCTTCCTCCTTCTTCCTCTTTCGCCTCTTTCTTTTCCTCCATTTCTTGAGACGAGATCTCACTACGTATGAGGCTGATCGTAAAATATTTTATTCATTATTTTTTAATTTTATGTGTATGAGTGTATTGCCTGCATGTGTGTAAGTGCACCCAGGGCATGAAATGCCTGCTGAGGTCAGAAGAGGGTGTCGGATCCCCTGGAACTGGAGTTGGACGGTTGTAAGCCATCTGTGTGTGCTGGGACTCAAACCCCAGGCCTCTGCAAGAGCCCAACTTAGGCTGGTCTTTAATTTGCTCTGATTCTCCTGTCTCAGCCTCGAAAGTGCTGGGATTCCAGACCTGCACTGTCATGCCCGGCTTACGAAGCAGGCTTTCAGGAAGTGCCTAGGAAAGAGCAAGGGGACAAATGGCTGTCTCCCCTCAAGCCCTAGGGTGAGGGCTTGTCAGTGACTCACAGGCATGGCACCTTCACCTGCAGGGCCGGTTGACACGCAGCTGTGACCAAGGGGGTGTGGGGCTGTGCTCCAGGTAGGAGTCACCATCCTAGAAAGAAGGGTGGAAGTCAAAATCTCACATAATGACATAATCTCTTCCTTGTCCAAACACCAATGGCAACTTGGGTTGTCAAGCACTAGCCATGGGACAGGGATTGGTGAGGTCATCCCTTGCATGGATGGCTCTGGAGAATTAAATTGAAAAGAAATTGGAAGATGCCAGGCATGGTAGCACGTGCCTGTAATCCCAGTTACTTGGAGGCTGAGGCAGGAAGATCATAAGTTCAAGGCCTGCTTGGGCTACAGAGTGAGTTCAGTACCAACCTGGGCAACATAGATTGTCTCAAAAGAAAATGTAAAAGGACTGGGAACGGTGGTGCATGTCTCTAATCTCAGTATTTGGGAGGCAGAGGCAGGAGGATCAGGAGCTCAAGGCCATCCTTGGCTACACATTGAATTTGAGGAGAGCCTGAGCTACATGAGATCTTATCTTAAAAATAAATGAATAGGGGCTGGAGAGATGGCTCAGTGATTAAGAGCACTGGTTGCTCTTCTGGAGGACCCAGGTTCAGCTCCTAGCATCCATCTGTAACTCCAGTTGTAGGGGAATCTGATGCTCTTTTCTGGCTTCTGTGGGCATTTCATGACATGAGTACACTTACACACATGCAGGCAAAGCACTCATACACATAAAATAAGAACAAATAAATTAATAAATTAGCTGGATGTGGTTATGCATGCTTTCCTCCTCCTGCTCCTGCTCCTCCTCCTCCTCCTCTTCCTCCTGCTCCTCTTCCTCCTGCTCCTCCTCCTTCCTCCTCCTCCTGTTCCTCTTCTTCTTCTTTGGTCTTTTTGAGACAGGGTCTCCTTGTAGTGGGGCAGGCCTGGAACTCATTATGTAGACCAGGCTTGGCCTTGAACTCGGGAGATCTGCCTGCCTCTGCCTCCCGAGTACTGGGATCAAAGGTGTATAGCACCATGCCTGGCAGTTATGCATGCTTTTAACACTACCATTCTGAAGGTAGGGTCTCATTCTGAAGGCAAAGGCAGGTAGATCTCCATGAGTTCCAGACCAGCCTCATCAGCTCTAGGCCAGCCAGGGGTATATAGTGAGACCCTGTCTCACAAAAACATTTTTTAATTAAAAAAATGTAAATGGGTAGAGTATAGCTTAGTGGTAGAACACTTGCCTTAGCATGTGTGAGAAAGGGAGGGTGTGTGTGATCTAGATGCCATTAGGGAAATTTTCCTTTGAAAGTATAAATGATCAAAACTGGTTTGTTTGGGCTGGAGAAATGGCTCAGTGGTCAAGATCACTGACCACTCTTGCAGAGGACCTGAGTTTGGTTTTCATTACCCATGTGGTGGCTAACAACTATCCATAATTCCTGTTCTAGGGGATTCAGTGCCCTCTTCTGGTCTCTTTGGGCATTGCATGCATGTGGTACACTCACATGCAGGCAAAACACTTATACACATGAAATAAAAATAAATAAATAAAAACAAAAAACCTGGTGTGGTGGCACATGCCTATCATCCCAGCAGCTGAAGCAGGGATTCCAGCTTCTCTGCTAGCCTGAGAAACATAGAGATATCCTGTCTCATAAAACCAAAACCAGGGGGCTGGAAATATGGCTCAGTGGGTAAAAGCACTGGCTGCTCATGCAGAGGACCTGGGTTCAACTCCCAGCACCCACACGGTGGCTAACAACCTTCCATAACTCCAGTTCTAGAGGATCCGACACCTTCTTCTGACCTCCACAGGCAATGCACTCATACACATAAAATAAAAATAAAAAATAAAATATTAAAAATAAAACCAAACCAAAACAAAAAACTTCCCAAGAACTGGGTATGGTGACTCATTCCTATAATTCCAGCACTCAGGAGGCTGAGGCAGGAGGATTGTCATGAGTTCAAGGACAACCTGGACTACATGATATGCTCCAGACCCGCCTGGGCTACAGTATGAGACCCTGGCTCAAACAAAACAAACTGACAAATAACTCTCAAAAATTGGGTGCAAGAAATGACAGATCTGAGTAATAAATAACAAGAGAAGAAACAGAAAGAGTCATGATCTACTTTCCCAAGGGCTGGTTCAGATTAAGGCAATGGGTAGATCCACTATCAGGGAACAAGTATTTCCCATTTACTAGCTAGGCACCTACTCTACTAACTGTGGCAGACCCTGGCCTTAGCCAGAGCTTGGAAGCCAGGTGCAGCCCTTCTAGCCTGAGCCAGGAAGCCCTAGGCAGCCCCACTGTGTAGAGGGTTCTGGGTAGGGCACCCTTGGATGGGCAAATACCCTGTGTGAACACATGCTTCATACTCTTGTGGGGTGCTGTGACGTGAGGTGTGATGGCCAAACTCCTGAACTTCCGTTGGCACTAAGGAACCAGCATAATCACATTACCCATGCCAACAGAGGCTGCTGTCAAGAGGAGAAATAATCACAGACCAGTTTCAGTTATGGAGATATAGATGTTAAAGTCCTGAATCCCTTAGCAAATGGGAATAGAGGGCTGAGAAGAGGTGCTGGGGCTGGTAGAAGGAGGAGGAAGAGAGGAGAGAGGAGAGAGGAGAGAGGAGAGAGAGAGAGAGAGAGAGAGAGAGAGAGAGAGAGAGAAGAGGAGAGAAGAGAGGAGAGAAGAGAGAAAAGAAAAAAAATGGAGTGGTGGTGTATGTCTCCCATCCTAGCAGTCGGTGCTGACAGAGTCAGGAAGATCAGGAATTCAAGGCCAGCCTCAGCTACATGAGTTTGAGGCCAGCTTGGGCTACTCAAGGCCTCATTTAAAAAAAAAACAATACAAAACCCCAAATAAAGCCAAGAATAGAAAAGATGGGGTGTATTTGAAAAGGGCAGGCCTTCCCTGTCAATTTTGGGGTGGGTCAGGATGCTGAAGCACAGCCCCCAGCCTTCCCTGCCTGGTGACTTCCTGGTCTGTGACCTTCCATCATTAGGGATGCTCAGGACAGGGAGAGCCACACCTGAGGGTGCCCAGAATTCTGCCTTTGTCACTGGAATGTGAAACTGGGAAGCAGATCAGCTTTACCGAGGTGGCCCGATTAGCTAGCTACCCTCTGCTGGCAGAGCTGGGGAAGGGCAGAAACTCCACCAGGATCCAGGATGCTTGATTCTGGGTGGAGTTGTTAGTTCTCTGAGGGGACCACCTTGTGTCCTTGTTTGAGCAGAGCCTGAAAACACGTGCTGATTCTCAGCCACACCTGGACACCCACACACATAACTCTACCACCCCCACTGGCACACACCCTGCACGTTCATACCCAGCCTGCCCACTGCCACCCCCTTGCTCAGCCTCACCGTTGGCATTAAAACCCAAATATCTTTCTCCCCTGCACCCAACTGTTCCCACCCACTGGCTCTTGTTTGCCTCCTTCCAAACTAGTCCCTAGGTAGCCACCTGCCAGCCACCGCATGCTATTCCTTTTAATGCACTTCAGGCCCCAGCCCAGGCTCCCAGCCATTTTCCCCATAATCTGAGCCAACAGGGCAACACTTGAGGCTTCAGGTCAGGGCTTTGGAGGCCCCCTGGGAAAAAGGCAGGAAGGAAAAGGTCCTGGCCCCCAGCCCACGTGCTTGAGACAGCTCCCCGATGCAGCAGGACTCCGAACCCCTCCCCGGGGCTGCCTCAACCGGCTTTTCAGGTGACACTGCGTCCTCTCCCATTCATGGCAATTAGCCCCCTGCCCTTGCCCACGGGCTGGGAGGCAAGAGACCTGGGTTCTGTCATGAGCATGTGATCCTGGTTCCCAAATTTGCAGCCCTCTTCTAGAGATCCCATGCTGCTCTAGGGACTCAGGTACCCTTTTCCTCCAGCACCCAGTGAGACAGGCTTAGACTCTTCCCTTGGCTTCTAACCCATCTATGTGTTTCATTTATAAATATTTACCATGCCCCAGCTAATGTTCCAGAAACTGGGACTCTAGCAGTATCCAACACAAAGGCCTTATTTGCTGGCAGTTTACAATCAGGCAGGTCAGACACACTATAAAAAGTAAATATGATTTCAGATGGCGATAAGTGCTGTGGAAACAAAAGGCTGATATTACAGAGCATAATCGTCAAACCTGTAATGCCATATTGTGCTTAGGGATGGTCAGGGAAGGCTTTCTGAGATGCCAGCCTTTGAACCAGGTACAGAATAAATAGAGTCAGCCACGTGAAACTCTGACTTCTACATTCTAGACACGTGCAAAGCCATGGGGTAGCAATGAGTGAGGGGTGTTTGAGGTGTTGAGGCCAGGCCCATGTGACTGAAGCAGAGAGAGAGGTAGGGTCAGGGAACTGCCCCCAGCTCCTAGAGGCCTCTTCTCCTCCCTGACTGCTCCCCACTTTTCCAGACTCTTCCTGCTGGATAAGCTGGATGCTTAGATCCCTAAGACGGGCCATGGGGTTGTCAAGGATGGAGAGTGCCTGAAGGTGGGATCAAGAGCCAGTTGAAGAACATTCAGGTTGTTTCCTCAACTGGTTCTTGGAAGTTTTAGAGACTGCAGAGTGTGTGTTCCTGGATAGGACTCCTATATTAAACCTCACCCACCCATGGCTCAGGGACCATTTGGAAGAGGGGGCAGAAAGATTGTAAGAGCTGGGGTTGGTCCATGAACACAGAGAAACAGAGGTTTTCAGGCCACTGGAAGCTTGCTCATGTGAGCTTGAGGCAATGGTGGCATCATGCACAAGACCCATGCCAACTTGGACGAGGGCCCAGAGTGGATCAAGGGAAATGGACAGTGGGCTGGCCCTAGCCTGGGAACTGTTGGCAACTGATTACTGCTGGGTGAGGGAGTAGATCTTCCTTAAGATCTCTATATAGAGAAGATGGGGAGTAGGTGACAGTTGTATTAAAGCTGTATTAAAAAAAAAGATCTCTGTATAGGTTGGGCATGGTGGCACACAGCACTTGGGAGGCAGAAGCAGGTGGATCTCTGTGAGATTGGGGCCAATCTGGTCTACATAGCAAGTTCCAGGCTTGCTAGGGCTACAGGGAGACCCTGTTTCAAAAAGGCTAAATAAATAAATGAATAAATAAATAAATAAATAAATCGATCTCCAGATAGGCTGACTAGACTACAGTGGATGAACTTTTGCAGAAGGACATCTGGGTACAAATGCTTGACTGGATAGGACTTAACATGTATGACAGAATGCATGAGTTCTGGGTGGGAGGGGTATGGATTGGGGAGGGGGTCTAAATTTGATCATGAAATACACAAAAGCTCAATTTTAGCCAGGCATGGTGGCACATGCCTTTAATACCAGCACTTGGGAGGCAGAGGCAGGCAGACCTTTGTGAGTTCAAGGCCAGCCTGGTCTACATAGTGAGTTCTAGGACAGCTGGGGCTACAGGGAGATCCTGTCTCAAAAAGACCAAAAAAAAATTTTTTTTTTAAAAAAAGAACCAGGAGCTGGCCAGTCACTGAGGATGGAAAACAGGAGGTGGCTAGGCAGGGCAGAACTATCTTCTGGGGTGGAGGACCTGAGCTGGGCATACAGCAAAGATGCCAGGCTCTTCTCTGAGTGTGACTCATCTTGTGTTCCTCCTCCTTTTAATTGCTCAATCCCAAATCTCCCTGGGAAATACCTCCCTGACTGGGGACGAAGTCAGTGTCTCACAGGGTAATTGAGTCATGAGGGGTGGAGAAAAGAGAGGGAGGCGGATGATAAATAGGAGCGTCACTCCCCAGGCTGCTCTCTGCATCCTCAACACCTTCCCAGCAGCATGCATCTCAACAGTTTTCTCAGGTCTTGCTGCCTCCTACTGTTCCTGGGGGCTCTGCCTGCCTGGGCAGCCCATGATGACCCCATTGAGAAGGTCATAGAAGGTTTCAGCCGAGGGCTGAGCAATGCAGAGAGAGAGGTGGGCAAGGCCCTAGAAGGCATCAATAACGGAATCACTCAAGCTGGAAGGGAAGTGGAGAAAGTTTTTAATGGACTTAGCAACATGGGGAGCCAGGCCGGCAAGGAGGTGGAACGCGGCTTGGACAAAGTATCCCATGGCATCAACAATGGCGTCGAACACGCAGGAAATGAAGCAGAGAAGCTTGCCCATGGGGTCAACCACGCTGCTGGACAGGTTGGGAAGGAGGCAGACAAAATGATTCATCATGGGGTCCACCATGGGGTCAATCAGGCGGGCAGTGAAGCAGGGAGGTTTGGTCAGGGAGCCCACCATGTCACGGGGGAGGCTGGGAATGAGGCTGGGAGGTTGGCTCAAGGGGCCCACCATGCTTTTGGTCAGGCCGGGAAGGAGGCAGACAAGTTTGGCCATGGGGCCCACCATGCTTTTGGTCAGGCCGGGAAGGAGGTGGACAAGTCTGGCCAGGGGGCCCACCATGCTGTTGGTCAGGCCGGGAAGGAGACGGACAAGTTTGGCCAGGGGGCCCACCATGCTGTTGGTCAGGCCGGGAAGGAGACGGACAAGTTTGGCCAGGGAGCCCACCATGCTTTTGGTCAGGCCGGGAAGGAGGCGGACAAGTTTGGCCAGGGGGCCCACCATGCTGTTGGTCAGGCCGGGAAGGAGGCAGACAAGTTTGGCCAGGGGGCCCACCATGCTTTTGGTCAGGCGGGGAAGGAGGCAGACAAGTTGGGTCAGGGGGCTCACAATGCCTTTGGTCAGCCTGGGAGGGAAGCAGAGAAGTTTGGTCAGGATGGTAGCCATGCATTTGGTCAGCCTTCAAAGGAAGCAGAGAAGTTTGGTCAGGGTGTCCACAGTGGCTTTGGGCAGGCTGGGAAGGAGGCAGAGAAGGTTGGTCAGGGGATTCACAATGCCTTTGGTCAGGCTGGGGAGGAGGCAGAGAAGGTTGGTCAGGGGATTCACAATGCCTTTGGTCAGGCTGGGAAGGAGGCAGAGAAGTTGGGCCAGGGAGTTCACCAGGCCTTTGGTCAGGCTGGGAAGGAGGGAGGCAAAGTGGTTCAGGGGGCCAATCAGGGACTTAGCCACGCTGCGATGGAGGCCCAACAGTTTGGCCATAGCCAGGGCCATGGTTATTATGTGGCAGGGCAGGCAAGGCAAGAGGGAGACAAAGCAGTCTATCCTGGGATTAGCCAGGCTGGGAAGGACATGGAATGGTTTGGCCAGGGTGTCCACCATGCCTTTGAACAGGCCGGAAAGGAAGCAGACAAAGTGATTCAAGGGGTCCACACTGGGTTCAACCAGGCCGGGAAGGAGGCAGAGAAAGTTGGCCAAGGGGTCAACTATGCTGCTGGTCAGGCCGGAAAGGAAGCGGAGAAACTTGGCCAAGGCGTCCACCATGCTGCTGGCCAGGCCGGGAAGGAAATGGACAGGTTGCAGCAAGATGTTCATAATGGGGTCAACCAAGCCAGCAAGGAGGCCAACCAGCTGCTGAATGTAGGTGAACAGAGGTGGGGAAACTGGGAAGAAGGGGGCTCGGGGAGGGAGAGGCTAAACTTGGGACATTTGGGGAGCCCAAGCAGCCTTGGTTTGGTGAAAGAAGCTTGGGCAGTCACAATACTTTCTTCCTCTCCTTCCTTCCCCATCTCCATTACTACAGAGCTGGTGGCCAGCTGGTCAGATGGATTTGACCATCTTATTTGCAAAAACCCCACCTGAGACAGGGTGAAAGGGACCAGTCCCTCCATCAGGGAGCTCTCCTCCTAGATAAGGGGACCAGACATGTTCCTATGAGGCAGTCAGCGTAAAGGTGGTGACTCTCAGATACCTAGATAAGGAAACTAAAGCTCAGAGAGACTTAAGGGGACTCTTTGCTAAGGTTACATGATGAGTGCCCAGTTGGTAAGATGCAGATATGGAGTTCTCTCTCAGAACTTTCTGATTGGCTGACTGGGTGGGTAGTGGGTGGCTTCTGGAGAACTCTCCTACCCATTTCTGTAGAGAGAACAGATCCTGGAGGTCAGGCAAGCCACACCATTCACAAGGGAGTGGACACCAAGGAGGGGAGGCTGGGGACCAGCAGCAGGCTGATTCCCTCATGGCCCAGATGCCCGTTCTCCATACTCCATAAGCAGCCACTGGGATCAGCAAGCTGGGACACCATCCTTAGGATGGGTCTGGGGATCAGAGCCCAGAGCCACATCTGCTGCCCAGAGGAAGCCAGGGAGGGTTGGGTAGGGGAGGAGAGGATTGGAAAGAGCCTTGGGTGGAGGAGGATACTGTGTGAGACCACCCAAGTGGAGGCAGCCGGGAGTGGGGGTGCAGCTGGGGAGGTTCTGTCCAGTGACATGATGAGGTCAAGGGCAGGGATGAGCTGAGTTAGACTTGAGGCTAGACCATATAGAAGGGTGCTTAGAAGTCAGGGATGAAGGTAAATAGAGGTTCTGGTATTTGTGTGGGTCTTCTGAGTCCCCCTTCTTTAAGATGGGGAACATTTCCCTAATGCTGAAGTAAAGGGAAGCTTGGGAGAGACCAGTCAGCAGCAGACAGACACCATCCCTAGAGTTCTACCCAGGTCTCACAATTCCCATGACAACATGAGCTTTGGATTCTGTCTTAGGACAGCAAGTGAGGGACACAGAGGGTTAGCCTGGGCCTCCCACTCCAGCCCCAGTCATCCCAGAGGGGCGATGGAGCTCCCAGGGAAGAGTTGAGGGCTGGCAGTGATGATCTGGGCTTTGTCTACAGGGCGCTCATCAAGGCGGGTACACAGGCCAGCACGGAGGGGCCGCAACCACTACAGCAGCATCTGGGGTGAGTCTCTGGGTGCGACTTGGATTAGGACTGGGGTAGAGAGGGGAGTGGAGATCACTTGAGGTTCTCTTCAGGATAGGGGTTGGATGGAGGTCGGTGACTGACTTTGTCTTTGAATTCCAGGCCTCGGTCAACAAGCCATTCATCAACTTCTCAGCTCTGTGGAGGGTGAGAGCCCACACAACTCTCTCTCTCTCTCTCTCTCTCTCTCTCTCTCTCTCTCTCTCTCTTTCTCTTCTCTCTCTCTCTCTCTCTCTCTCTCTCTCTCTCTCTCTCGTTCTTGCTCTCTCCCATCTTGAGTCCCCTCACCATAGCCTGCTTTCGGACAGCTTCCCTTTGGACAGACTCAGTCTCTGCAAGAGACCATCCAACCTGTTCTCCCAGCTCTGATCCTTTCTTTCATCACCAGCTTGCAGGTTTTGGGTGCTTTCCAGTCTCACTGAACAAACATAAGCGGGCAGAAATGAGCTCTGAGGCACTTGCACATCTGGGAGACAGGGAGGGCAAGGCTGCAGTAACCATCCTTCACGTGCCTGTCTGCCTGTTGGGGCTCTTCATCACCCTCTCCTTCCCAGCAGCTGGCTGCTTTCCCTCTTTACCAGCCCTCCTGTGAATGTCTTTGCTACCCTGCCCTGTTGCCTTGTGTGGTTGTGCTGGGTAGTGGGTGCTTGGCAAGTACTGGGCACTCTTTTTTTTTTTTTAAGACATGGTCTCCCTGTAGCCCCAGCTAGCCCAAAACTTGCTATGTAGATCAGACTGGCCTTGATCCCACAGAGATCCACCCAATTCAGCTTCCTGAGTGCTGGGGTTAAAGGCCTGCACCGCCACACCTGGCATTTTTGCGGCGGGTTGGAGCGGGAGGGGTTGTTTTTTGAGGTGGTGGGACTTCTGCCTTCTCCCTGGCTAGAGTATAAAGCCCCCATGGAATCCTGGTCCCTACTCCAGACCCACTTTCCTTTGTCCTTGGACTACAGGGACTGTCAAGGACCTTCTGAGGTGAAATGGACGGCTTCTTCCTTAACGACCTCCCTTAGCCTATCTCCCTGGGAGGCCTGGCTCCTTACTGTCCCCCAAATAAACAGCTGGTCTCCCTATCATTTCTCAAGAGTGGAACTTGGAGGAAGATCTCAAGCCCCTTCTGGCTGTGCACCTGTATTCACCCCTTCTCTCCTCTCTTCCAGAGCATCGCCAACATCATGCCCTAAACTGATGCCCAGGCAATAGAACACTCCTGTAGTCACATCAGCTGACATGGCTTGGAAGAGCTGGGGGTGGGGGACAAGCTTCCTGGGGGTCCTTAAGTGGGCTACGCTGAGCTCTGTGAATAAACGTGACATATTGTCCTCTCTCATCATGACTGACTGTGCTCCCTAGAGAGGGACCGGCAGGGTGGGGGTGGGAATGAGGGACTTGGCATGTTTTCTTGTCACTGGGCTAAAGGAGCTGGGAATCTGCTTGCACTAACTAGATGGAGAGTTGGAGACTTCAGGCTTGAAGAGGGCAGTTCCCAGGGGTGAACCATACTTGGCTAACATACAAATTTGTGCTCAGTCCTAGGATGGGCACCCGGGTAGGGAAGTGACTGCTGGTGGGATGTGTGGTACCCAGGGTAGAACAATGGAAGCTTGTGCTCCTTGCACAATGAAGATGTGCTGGGATTTTTCCAGGCATGACCTCATCAAATCTTCCAAGCACCCAGTTAGGTAAATGTTCTGTTACTGTCCCCATTTAATAGGAAGACACGTGGAGGCTTGCTCAGGTTGGAAAACACAACCAAGGTTAAGTAGCCAGTTAGTAGAGAGAGAGAATCAGCCTCAGAGTTGCAGACTCTCCTCTGTTTGGGAGATAGACAGAAGGAGCACGGGTGGGGACACAGAAGGCCCTGGGGGTTCAGACCCATGGACCACCCAAACCTAGAGGAGTAATGAGAACAGCCAACATGGGGTCACCACATGTGAAGCCTCTGGATGACCATTTGCTTCATAACCTAACACAAGTCTGTAGCCGTTCCATCAAGTGGTTAAGGAAACAGGCTCCTCAGGGCGAGGGCTTTTCTGTGGTTACCTACAAGAATGCATCTGGGCCCCAGTGTGTATATCACAGAACATCGCCCCACACTGTTGCCCTGGTCTCCCTCCCACTTCCCCAAATCCCAATCTGGGTGCGAGAAGGGCTGCAATGTAGTCCAAGGCAGCTGTGGCAGGCCTCCTCCTGTGTCAAGCAGGTGAGGGTGTCTGCAGGCAAATGCTACAATCAACACTTCCAGTCTCCCAAGTCCAGCCCTCCTAGGAATATGGCTAAGACAGGGTGCTTGTCCCAGGGGAATCCGGCCTTTCTGGGGAGACTGTGAAAAGAAATGCAAGACCATAGGCTGGGATGCAGCTTTGTGGCACAGTGTTTGCTTAGCACCCCCTCACCCTGGCACCACTTCACAACTAAATGACACCCCAGGGCTCACCAGAGCCTATGTTTGCCCAGTGAAGGAGATAGTCCCAACACTTTATATTCACCACCTTTTTTCTTATTTTGTGGAATATCATCATTTTATTACATCTGATTTTTGTTTTTTAATCTTTTTTGAGACAGGGTCTCCCTGTAGTCCCAGCTGGCCTGGAACTTGCTATGTAGACCAGGCTGCCCTCAAACTGACAAAGATCTGCCTGCTTCTGCCTCCCCAGTGCTGGGATTAAAGGCGTGTGCCACCACACCCGGCTTTACATCTGATTTTTTGTTGTTTTGTTATTGTTGAGACAGGGCCTCACTTTATAGCCCTGGCTGGCCTGGAATTCTCTAGGTAGACCACACTGGCCTCATACTTAATAGAGATCCACCTGACTCTGTCTCCTGGGTGCTGGAACTAAAGGTGTACACCACCATGCAAAAACTTTTGCTCTTCCACCTCTACCTCCTGATTGCTGGGATCACAGGCATGTACCACCACACCTGGCATTGATATATTTTTTATTTTATTTTGTGTGTATGAGTATTTTGCCTTTGTGCTTTTAAGGAGCCTATGCATGCAATGCCCATGAAGGCCAGAAAAGGGCATCAGATCCCCTGGAACTGGAGTTACAGATGGTTGTTAGCCACCATATCAATGCTGGGACCTGAACCTGGGTCCTCTGCAAGAGCAGCCAGTTTTCTTAACTGCTGACCCATCTCTCCAGCCCCATCAATATATTTTTAAATGCATTTCAAAGAACATTGCTGACATTTGTGGGTTGCAGTTTGGCAAATAGAGTCACTTGCTCACGCCAGATACTTGAAGGCCTTCTCTGTAGTGGACTCTTAATACCGGACTTGTCCTTTATAGTAGGAGCCCTAGAGTGCTGTTTTCCAGAGGCAGTATTCTGTTACCAAGTAAACGCTTGCACTAAGTCTTTTTAAAATTACATTTATTTGTTTGTTTGTTCATTTACTTGTGTGGGCACATGTGCCACAGTGAACAAGAGGAAGGTCAGAGGACAACTTGCAAGTCAGTTCTCTCCTTCCACCACATCGGTCCTGGGGATTAAACTCAGGTTGTGAGGCTTGGTGACAAGCCCCCTTATCTGCTGAGCCATCTCATTGGTCCTTGTGTTCTCTATCTCTTTTTCTTTTATTTATTTATTTATTTATTTATTTATTTATTTAATCTCTATGAGTGTTTTGCCTATGTGTATATAAGTGTACCATGAGCATGCAATGCCCACGGACACCAGAAGAGGGCATCAGATCCCCTGAAACTGGAGTTACAGACTTGTTAGCGCCATGTGGGTCCTCTGCAAGAGAAGTCAGTGCTCTTAACCACTGAGCCATCTCTCCAGCCCCCAGCACTTACTATTTCTATGAAGATTTTCTTGGCAGCCTTGCTCACATGAGGAGTCCTGAGGTACCTTGGTGTCCAGGCATAATCCTGGAGGGTTCTAGTCCAGGGAAGCTTGAGGCTTGAGCCTAGGGCAAGGAGACTCATAGAGCCTTTCTCTCTCTCTCTCTCTCTCTCTCTCTCTCTCTCAACCTGGGTACCGTGTGTGTGTGTGTGTGTGTGTGTGTGTGTGGTGTGTACGCACGCACGCACGTCCTCTTCTGGAGTGTTCACTGTCTTCAGGTGTCTCCATGCTGTTTTCCCCCTCACTCCTCAGCCCCCAGCTGCCTCGATTTTCCTCCCCACAACCTGAACATCAGTTCCCACTTGCCATCATCTCTCATGACACCCTGATGTTGTCTTTCATAGTGCCTGTGGCTATTTTTGTTTGTTTGATTTTTGAGATAGGCTCTCACTGTTGAGCTCTGGCTGGTCTGGAACTCACTATGTAGACCAGGCTGGCCTTGAACTCAGAGACCCACCTGCCTCCACCACCCGAGTGCTGGGATTAAAGGTCTGTGCCATCACACCTGACTATTTGTAACTGTAGCACAAATGTTCCTTGTTTAACCTCTGTCTCCCCCTTAAGACTAGATGTTCCAGGGACAAGGTTAAGGCCAGACTCAAGTATCTGGCATGTGGACTGACTGGGAGATATGCTTTGCTGGGAAGGGCAGAGCCAGGCCGGGGAGCAACAGAGGAAGGGCCAGTTTCTGCAGATGCCTAAGAACAGGATGAGGAATTTGGGTGGGACAGTCTTTGCCATCTTTTATTGGGTGCTTACTGGGTCTGTGCTAAGCACTTTACAGATGTGATTCATTCTGTCCTCACAAGCACCCCATGGGGCAGGTATGGTCATTATCCCCCTCACAGATGATGGAGAGGAGACTCAGGGAGGGAGAGAGTTGCCTGAGGACACCCAGGTAGCAATGGGAGCCCTTCCCTGCTAGTCAGGAAACTTGGGAGGTGGCTTGCCTCCCTGTGACCTGCAAGGAATCAGAAAAGGCCCTCATCACATCACAAATGGTGTGTGTGTGTGTGTGTGTGTGTGTGTGTGTGTGTGTGTAATCAAATGACTGTGAGCCAGCATGTGGTGATACATACCTACCTGTCATCTTGACACTAGGGATTATAGAACTAAGGCCTGAAAGTCATGAGTTTGAGACCAGCCTGGGCTACATAGTGAGTTCCAAGCTAGCCTGGGCTATGTTATGAAACCGTATGTCAAAACACCAAAGAGATGGCTCAGAGTTTAAGAGAGCTTGATGCTTTTGCAGAGGAATGAACTCAGTTCCCAGTACCCAGGTCGGGAGGCTCACAGCCATCTGCAACTCCAGCAACTTCAGGGGGATCCAAGGCCTAGGGCCTCTATGGGCACCTACACTCACATGGAAATACCCATACACAGATACACATGCATAGAGATATTTTAAATTAAAATAAATCTTGAAACAAAATAAAACATCAAAGCAGGGCTGATGAGATGCTCAGTGGATAAAATTGCTTACTGCCAAGCCTGATGACCTGAGTTCAATCCCCAGGACCCACACGGTGGAAGGAGAGAATCAACTCCTACAAGTTGTCCTCTGAGCGCCACACATGTACACACACACACACACACTCACACACACACGCACACACACGCACGCACAATACACACACACACAGGCACGCATGCACGTGTGCACACAGACACAGAGTAAATGCTATAAAAAACACAAAACAAAAATAAAAATAATCAACAGGGCTGGAGAGGTGGCTCAGCAGTTAAGAACACTGGTTGTTCTTGCAGAAGACCTGGGTTCGAATCCCAGCACCCACATGGCAGCTAACAACTGTCCGTAACTCCAGTCCCAGGGGATCCGACAGGCAGGCATTGCACGACACGGGTACACCTACCTACATGTAGGCAATACACACATACACATAAAAAAATTAAAAAATTAAAAAATCAACAACAAAAACAATTGCCAAGAAAATATTCAGTAACATCAATAGGCCCAGCTGCTTTGGGAACCCACTCTGGACCATTAGTGCATTTTAAAATTAATTAATTAATTTTATCTTGTGTATGAGTGCTTTACCTGTATGTACCTAAGTGCACCTATGTTGTGCAATGCCTACAGAGGCACTAATAGTCCGGAGGGTGTTGGATCCCCTGGAACTGGAGTTACGGATGGTTGTTAGCTGCCATGTGGGTGTTGGGAACTGAAGCTGGTCCTCTACAAGAGCAGCCAGGGCTCTTAACCACTGAACCATCTCTCTAGCCCCCAATGGTGCACTTTTTAAAGCTTTTTCATATTCGCTGCAGCTGTCCTCAGATCTACCTGTCTTTACAGAAGAGCAAACTGTTTTGTGGATGGATTGATATACTGCGATTAATTACCAAATCCAACAGGAGACAAAGTGGATGCAGCATCCCAGTCTGAGACCAGAAACTCATAAAAGGGAGCAGAGAGGGGCTGGAGAGATGGCTCATCAATTAAGGGCACGGGCTGCTCTTGCAGAGG